TCTGACTGTGTCTTATTACATCTATCCATCCACATTCCTTTACCTTGTACATTTAAAGTACTTCTAGGGGATACTGAATGTTCAGATTACTTGATTTTTGTGCAGCCTTCATGTCTGTCCTCTTGTGATGACCTGTAATAGACCCTGTTTTTACTCTTACTAAATCAGTCTTGCTTTTTAGGCAGTTTTAATAAGTCTTTTGGTTTTGCAAGACTGTCTCATTGCAACTCCTGTGATGTGTTAGTATTTTTACTTTGTACCCTTAAATGTCTTAAATGCTGGAACCTCAACTTGTATTGACCTTCAAACTCTCTCATTTGTGTGGTCTCTGTTTGCTAATCATTTATTGCTCTACAGCAGCATTCCCTAAATGGGTATGCGAAGGGATTTTCAGGGGGCCATGCAAATGAGTTATAATTTATCACCACTGATATTTTTAATTTATTTATTTAATATTTTATAGAAAAATGCAAAGTTCACAGATAAACCATTCTGCTCAATAATTGCCAGTACAGTTATAACAAAACTATTTTCCACAGTGTATCTATGTGAGCATCAAGATAAGTTTTGTTCTAATCTTGGTGGAGGATGACCTCAGGGTGGCTTTGTCAAAAACAGGACCCACACAGAATTTCCCCAGAAACTAAACTAAGCAAAAATGTTTCATGCTCTGATTAACCAGATGCAGTTTGTCTAAATTACCATTTAAATTTTAAAATTAATATGATTTTTTTTTTAATATGTATTTTTTTTTTTATATTTAGATGTTCAAAGTAACTATCTGTAAGAATAAGCAAAGCTTTTATCACACGTTATTTTTTTCTCTTTGACCTTTACTGTTGCCTAGCAAAAATTTTATATTCCTAAAATTTAGGGGTATATTGCTCTGTGTTATTTATCTCCTATATACTTTATAGGAAGTCATTTTTCACATCTATGCAAAGGGGTACTTGGCTGATAATACAACACATTAAGGGGTACATTTGCACCTATGGTGCAAATGTACCCCATTGTTTTTGCTGCTCTTCATGATCCTCTTTTCCTGTTGGTTCCACCTTCATTGAGTTCCTAAAATTTTTTACTTTTTCCTTGTCAACTACCACTGTTGCTATTCCACATATCTTGGGTAAACAATTTCACAAACATGTACTTTGGTTGTTCTGTATGTGAATACTTGAGACATTCATCTAAAATTTCAAGTACATGTATTGTTTTTCTTCATATCGGTATATGCTTTCAATCTTGAATGCAGTCATCCACATTGACTAATGGACAACACAATGCACTTGTTGGCTTGCTTGTATGTGTATCCTAAACACCACTATCTTTGAAGTATAGCATTTAAAATGTGTGAAATAGTGGAGTACTGTATTTTTTTTTTCTTTCAACAAGTTTGCTATTTCCCACTGAGGCAGGGTGACCCAAAAAAGAAAATCCCCAAAAAGAAAATACTTTCATCATTCAACACTTTCACCTCACCCACACATAATTACTGTTTTTGTAGAGGTGCCCAGAATACAATAGTTTAGAAGTATATACATATAAAAATACACTATCTTTCTCCAAACTGCCAACATCCCAAACCCCTCCTTTAGAGTGCAGGCATTGTACTTCCCATTTCCCGGACTCGAGTCCTGTTATATAAAATAACCGGTTTCCCTGAATCCCTTCACTAAATATTACCCTGCTCACACTCCAACAGCTCGTCAGGTCCCAAATACCACGTCTCCATTCACTCCTATATAACACGCTCACGCATGCTTGCTGGTAGTCCAAACCCCTCACCCACAGCACCTCCTTTACCCCCTCCCCCCAACCTTTTCGAGGACGACCCCTACCCCGCCTTCCTTCCCCTACAGATTTATATGCTCTCCATGTCATTCTACTTTGATCCATTCTCTCTAAATGACCAAACTGCCTCAACAAACCCTCTTCAGCCCTCTGACTAAGACCTTTATTAACTCCACACCTCCTAATTTCCACACTCTGAATTTTTGCATAATATTTACACCACATATTGCCCTTAGACAGGACATCTCCACTGCTTCCAACCACCTCCTCGCTGCAGCATTTACAACCCAAGCTTCACACCCATATAAGTGTGTTGATACTACTATACTTTCGTACATTCCCTTCTTTGCCTCCATAGATAACATTTTTTGCCTCCACATATACCTCAATGCACCACTCACCTCTTTTCCTCTTTTCTATGATTAACCTCATCCTTCATAAATCCATCCACTGACACGTCAACTTTCAAATATCTGAAAACATTCACTTCTTCCATACTCCTCCTCCCCAATTTGATATCCAATTTTTCTTTAAGTCATTTGATAGTCATCACCTTACACACACACTCCCAAATTCGGCCACTAACGTTGGCAATTTTTCTTTGGAATCTCATATAAGCACAGTATCATCAGCAAAAAGTAACTGTGTCACTTCCCATTTTGTATTTAATTCCCCATAATTTAATCCCACCCCTCCTGAACACCCTAGCATTTACTTTTTACAACCCCATCTATAAATATATTAAACAATTATGGTGACATTACACATCACTGTCTAAGACCTACTTTTACTGGGAAGTAGTCTCCCTCTCTTCTACACACCCTAACCTGAGCCTCGCTATCCTCATAAAAACTCTTTACAACATTTAGTAACTTACCACCTATTCCATATACTTGCAACTTCTGCCACATTGCTCTCCTATCCACTCTGTCATATGCCTTTTCTAAATCCATAAATGGAATAAAAACTTCCCTACCTTTATCTAAATACTGCTCTCATATATGCTTCAATGTAAACACTTGATGTACACATCCCCTACCCACTCTAAAATCTCCTTGCTCATCTGCAATTCTACATTCTGTCTTTCCTCTAATTCTTTCAATAATAACCCTACCGTACACTTTTCCTGGTATACTCAGTAAACTTATTCCTATATAATTTTTACAATCTCTTTTGTCCCCCTTCCCTTTATATAAAGGGACTATACACGCTCTCTGCCAATCCCTAGGTACTTTCCCCTCTTTCATACATTTATTAAACACAAATACCAACTGTATTTTATTAAATAAATTTGTTAGTGCCAACTGTACTTTATTAAATAAATTTGTTAGTGCCAAAAAATGGAAAAGTATACTTAAGTAAGTCTGATTTCTTGGAGCTAAAATGTACCCAAACAACTGCAGTGAGAACACGTAATACCCATGTTTGATTTGGTTATGGTGTGTAGTATAATATATCAAAGGTATTTTGTCTATTGTCAAGTTTTTTTATAAGGTTCTTTAATTACTACATAATGATTTACTTTCAACTTGAGTTGTTATAGTATTTTGAAAAAGGTTTAGTTTCATATCTTTTTGGAATGGTGTTTATTCAATATTGAATTCATTTACCTCAACAACATTAAATCATCTAAGACCTCTAATAGCCCAGCAAAAGGCAGCAGTCAGAATAACAAATTCCCACTCCCGCCAGCATACTCCACCAATTTTCAAAGTCTAAATTTGCTCACCATTAAGAACATCCATAAATAACAAAAAGGCACAATACCGTGACTGGAACGATACACAAATAACCCGCACATAAATATACTTATTCATGTGCCTACTGCATACACAGAACAATACATGCAAATATAAACTCTCCACTCAAACTTCTCCTCACCAACCTTAACAGGACACATGACCATAACACAAAACGCAGATCTCTTTTTGATGTACCCCGTGTCCATATCACACTGTAAAATCTTTATGATTATAAAGGGCCCCAAAATATGGAATTCATTACCAGAAGATATTACAGTAACCTGGTCTGAAAATCAATTTGACTCTTCTCAAAAGCCACTTAATCACCCTAGACTAAATGCTAAATACTCAGTACTCGCATATTATTTTTTTTATTATCACACTGGCCGATTCCCACCAGGGCAGGGTGGCCCGAAAAAGAAAAACTTTCACCATCATTCACTCCATCACTGTCTTGCCAGAAGGGTGCTTTACACTACAGTTTTTAAACTGCAACATTAACACCCCTCCTTCAGAGTGCAGGCACTGTACTTCCCATCTCCAGGACTCGAGTCCGGCCTGCCGGTTTCCCTGAACCCCTTCATAAATGTTACTTTGCTCACACTCCAACAGCACGTCAAGTATTAAAAACCATTTGTCTCCATTCACTCCTATCAAACACGCTCACGTATGCCTGCTGGAAGTCCAAGCCCCTCGCACACAAAACCTCCTTTACCCCCTCCCTCCAACCTTTCCTAGGCCGACCCCTACCCCGCCTTCCTTCCACTACAGACTGATACACTCTTGAAGTTATTCTGTTTAGCTCCATTCTCTCCACATGTCCGAACCACCTCAACAACCCTTCCTCAGCCCTCTGGACAACAGTTTTGGTAATCCCGCACCTCCTCCTAACTTCCAAACTACGAATTCTCTGCATTATATTCACACCACACATTGCTCTCAGACATGACATCTCCACTGCCTCCAGCCTTCTCCTCACTGCAACATTCATCACCCATGCTTCACACCCATATAAGAGCGTTGGTAAAACTATACTCTCATACATTCCCCTCTTTGCCTCCAAGGACAAAGTTCTTTGTGTCCACAGACTCCTAAGTGCACCACTCACCCTTTTCCCCTCATCAATTCTATGATTCACCTCATCTTTCATAGACCCATCCGCTGACACGTCCACTCCCAAATATCTGAATACATTCACCTCCTCCATACTCTCTCCCTCCAATCTGATATCCAATCTTTCATCACCTAATCTTTTTGTTATCCTCATAACCTTACTCTTTCCTGTATTCACATAATCTCAATGTACTATTTGCAAAGACATAAATAAATAAATAAAGTAATTGCATAACAAGAAAATAAAAAGTGAGAAGTGTAGTATTCTTTGGATATGTAAATTGTTTTCTTGTAGATTTAGTTTACAGGTCTTTCAAATATTGCTTATTGTATTATATGAAAAAAATTTGACAGATCTGATGGGCATGTTTGAGAAGCGGAGGTTCAAGAATTTCCTAGTATTCACCCAGGATTATCGCGATGATGATCCTTCAACTTGGAAAGCCATGCCAGGCTTTGACCCAAAGACCACTACCATGAATGCTGTGTTTGTTCATTTCAATCTTGACAAGAATACAATTGATTTCACTGGACATGCCCTGGCACTTTACAGGTGAGATTCAGTTGCATTGTTACAAAAAATTATTTTGGCAATATAGGTAATGATACTTTTAGGTATAATTCTCTTAACCCTTTCAGGGTTGACAGGCCCTGTCAGAGACTTGTTCTCAAGGTCGGCCAAATTTCAAAAAAAAAAAAAAAAATTTCTTGTGAAAAAAAGTTTATTTTACTGAACATTATAGGCTAAACAAAAATTTTTTACCATCAATACTTACCGAAATATGGAGGCGTGAAGTTGATGAAAAAGGGGCACCATGTGGCAACATCGCCGACTGCCGTCACCCGGTATTCTTTTGTTTACTTTATGTACTAATTTCTATTATTTTTTAATTTTTCTTTTTCCAAGTAACTTTTATGGCCTGTGAGACCAGTATGATCAGTATTTTGTAAGTTATTTCTTTTTCAATACTACACAATAAGGGCATAAACACTGTTGTCATTGTTTTGCACAAACAAACGATATGAAATGTTGATTACTATTTTTCTATATTTTATATACACATATACAGTCACAGGGAATGTTTCTAGAAGTTCTGCAGCCTGTGGAAGTCTTTGAAACATGGTGTCATGCACAGTGGTGTTTTACATTCTTCACACATAAAACGAGTGTCTCTGCGTTGTTGTGGGCGTTTTCTTGTATGTGCACAGACGTAACACCTCTTTTGAGCCTTGTTCTTGAAAGCAGTAGCAGGCAGTTTTACCAGGAAGTGGTGATCATGCTTCAAACGAGAAGGAAGTTGTTGAAAATTTGGTGGGCGGTCTATTGCAGGTGCTGTTCCTTGGTACTTGAATACTATTTGTCTGATGACAGACAAACAGAATTCGCCATATGGTGGTTTGTTTCTGGTCCTCATATTATAAGCATTCAGCATGGAAATGTCCAGAAGATGGAAGAAGAGTTTTATGTACCACTTATAACTCTTGCGAACACAATCAGCAAACCCAATCTGCATGTCACATTTGTCCACTGAATGCATATTGAGGGTGTAGTCCATCACAGCTGCAGGTTTTAGAATGGGTTCATTGCTTTCTCTATGCTGCCTGCCAGTGTCTGCCATTTCATTAGGGTGAACTGATGACAACAGTGTAACATCTCGTTTGACATGCCACCGAAATGCCATGATGTTGTTGGCAGCAAACGCCTGCACCTCGCCTCTACGAGTCAAACCTGGGCATATATTTGATTTGCACGCACTGTGCCCCACACATCTGTCATGTTCACTCGCAAAAAATCACTGAGTGTGGGGCTTGTGTACCAGTTATCTGTATATAATATATGCCCCTTACCAAGATATGGTTCCATCATTGTTCTAACCACATCACCAGAGATGCCCAATAACTTCTTGGTATTTTGCAATGTATAACTTCCAGTGTACACAATAATATCCAATACCAGACCACTGTAACAATATAACGAGATTGGTTGGTAGAGCTGAAAGCGGGGTGTAAATGATACGTGTCTTCTTCGGAGGCTTCTTTGTTTATTGTTAAGTCTTGGTGGGTACACAGGCTTGTGTTGTGCCCATGGCTCGGGAAGGGCCATCCCACGAGAGAGAGAGCTACTAGTACTTGTGTCTTGCTGCTAGGCCGCTGTGTGAGTGAGAGCGAGGCATGGGCAAACAGGCTGGCTTGCCTACCGAGAGGCCTGTCTACAGAGGGCAGCATCTGAGTGGCACGAAATATGAACTAAGCTGGCAGACAGCATGGGCTGTCTGTGCAGACAGTACAGGCTGTCTGTGCAGACAGTACAGGCTGTCTACATACGCTCAGCCACCTACCGCGCGTCGTCCCGACGCGACAATACTGGTGGTAAAAGAAACTCGGTCTCTCTCTCGTAGGAACAGGGCACAGAACACAAAATAAAAACATATACAGTGGTCCCTCAATAATTGTCCGGCCTGAAAGTCGTCCATTTCGGAAATAGTCCTGTTTTTTCGTCAAAATATTGGCTCGCAAATGGTCCTCATAGTCCTTCATCTTGGACTCGTACTCACGCTCTGAGCCGCCTCGGCCTTTCCTTCCCAGCCAGTGTGCCATTGTTTACCAGTGAGTGACGGTCCCCTCACATGCTCCTACGAAATATTTCATAATATTCCATTGATTTTAGTGCTTGCAAGTGCTAAATAAGCTACCATGGCTCCAAATAAAGCTTCTAGTGCCAGCCCTTTGGTAAAGAATGTGAGAAACGCATAATTTATGAAAAAGTTTGTAGAAAAATACAAAGATGGTGGTGGTAGAGTGGAAGCAGTTGTGATAGTGGTTGATGAACATAAGAAAAGAGGATCACTGCAGCAGGCCTGTTGGCCCATGCTCGGCAGGTCTTTTACAATTCATCCCACTAACGAAACATTTTCCCAACCCAGTCCTCAATGCTACCCAAGAAATAAGCTCTGATAACTTTATCCACTCATTTGGGACTTGCAAATGAGTGGATAGAGTTATCAGAGCTTATTTCTTGGGTAGCATTGAGGACTGGGTTGGGACAATGTTTCGTTAGTGGGATGAATTGTAAAGGACCTGCCGAGCATGGGCCAACAGGCCTGCTGCAGTGATCCTCCTTTCTTATGTTCTTATATTCTTATGTTCATCAACCACTATCACAACTGCTTCCACTCTACCACCACCATCTTTGTATTTTTCGACAAACTTTTTCATAAATTATGTGTTTCTCACATTCTTTACCAAGGGCTGGCACTAGAAGCTTTCTTTGGTGGTAGTAATGGTGGTAGAAGGTAGTAGTGATGGTGGTAATAGTTGTAATAGTGGTAGAAGGTCGTAGTGATGGTGGTAGAGGGTTCCTTCTTCAGTGATTCAGCGATTCTACCAACTCCAATGTTGTTGGAGTTATATAGGGCTACAAAAACCACCGCCGCCTCACCACCATTATGGACGGCTTACACTCAGTGGCCCTTATATACCCAACAACACAACACAACACCTCTCGTGACATACGTAATGACTTATTTTATTCATTCTAGAGTATATTCCATGTTTCTATATTATTAATATTGTTTATTATGTCATATTAGTTGAATTGTGATAGATAAATAAGCCATAGAGTTGATATTAGTGTCATATTCTCCAACAATAAACTTGCCATCTCTCCCTCACAAACAAATAGCCAGTAAAAACAACAATGGAAGAACACTGCAGGTCTACTGGCCCATACAAGGCAGGTCCTTATCAAAATGACCTCCACCCAAAGCTACCCAAGAATTTACTCCCGTACCCAATGACACAAATCAAACTCAGCTCCTCCAACTCGTATACAGTGGACCCCCGCATAACGATGGCATCACATAGCGATTAATCCGCATACCGCTTGCTTTAATCGCAAAAATTTTGCCTCACATACCGCTTAAAAACCCGCTCACCGATTTTCGTCCGAGACGCGTCCAATGTGCGGCCTGAGCCACGCTCACATGTTCCGCCGGTGGCATTGTTTACCAGCCAGCCTCCGCGGTAACATCCAAGCATACAATCAGAATATTTCGTATTACAGTGTTTTCGGTGCTTTTTCTGGAAAATAAGTGACCATGGGCCCCAAGAAAGCTTCTAGTGCCAACCCTACAGCAATAAGGGTGAGAATTACAATAGAGATGAAGAAAAAGATCATTGATAAGTTTGAAAGTGGAGTGCGTGTCTCCGAGCTGGCCAGGTTGTATAATAAACCCCAATCAACCATCGCTACTATTGGTGGTACAGCTGCTGCTGTTGCTGCACTGTCAGCTGCTGCTGCTGCTGTAGCATCGTCTGCTGCTGCTGTAACATTGTCTGTTGCTGCTGTAGCGTCGTCTGTTGCTGCTGTACCACCGTCAGCTGCTGCTGCTGCTGTAGCATCGTCTGCTGCTGCTGTAACATCGTCTGTTGCTGCTGTAGCATCGTCTGTTGCTGCTGTACCACCGTCAGCTGCTGCTGCTGCTGCTGCTGCTGCTGTAGCATCGTCTGCTGCTGCTGTAACATCGTCTGTTGCTGCTGTAGCATCGTCTGTTGCTGCTGTACCACCGTCAGCTGCTGCTGCTGCTGTAGCATCGTCTGCTGCTGCTGTAACATCGTCTGTTGCTGCTGTAGCATCGTCTGTTGCTGCTGTACCACCGTCAGCTGCTGCTGCTGCTGTAGCATCGTCTGCTGCTGCTGTAACATCGTCTGCTGCTGCTGTAGCATCGTCTGTTGCTGCTGTACCAACGTCAGCTGCTGCTGCTGCTGTAGCACCGTTGTTGGTGTGGCTTATTGAGAATACCAAGAAACAATTAACCCCAGAGGATTTTCCACCCAGGATAACCCAAAAAAGTCAGTGTCATCGAAGACTGTCTAACTTATTTCCATTGGGGTCCTTAATCTTGTCTCCCAGGATGCAACCCACACCAGTCGACTAACACCCAGGTGAACAGGAAAATGCCTGGAACTAGTGCTCATATTGGTGAATTTAAAGCCAGCAAAGGTTGGTTTGAGAGATTTAAGAATCGTAGTGGCATACACAGTGTGATAAGGCCTGTTCTGGAAGAAAATGCCAAACAGGACCTACAGTACTCAGGAGGAAAAGGCACTCCCAGGACACAGTGTCTCATCAGTCATTGCTGCATCTTCAATAAAGGTAAGTGTCATTTATTCTTCATTTAGTAGACTAGTACATGCACAATATATACTGTGCATGTACTACTCTACTATTGTGCATGTATCCTTCTCTTTGTGTGTGGGAAAATGTATATTTCATGTGGTAAAATTTTTTTTTTCATACTTTTGGGTGTCTTGCACGGATTAATTTGATTTCCATTATTTCTTATGGGGAAAATTCATTCGCATACCGATTATTTCGCATAACAATTACCCCTCTTGCACGGATTAAAATCGTTATGCGGGGGTCCACTGTATTTGTCCTAGCCTCGATCACCCTACTGGTAAGTGTGATGTTAAATAAGAACTTAAGAAAGTAGGAACACTGGAACAGGCCTGCTGGCCCATACTAGGCCGGTCATTCACAAATCCAACCCA